TGCTTCTATTAAAAATAACCATGTTTTGGTAGAGCAATCTTTCACAGTGCACTCCGGGGAGATGAAGACCTTAAGCATCACACCTTGCAACCTGGAGATTTCGTCTATTGGAAAGACAGCTCCAGAAGGACTCTCTTCAACCTTGCTGGAAAGGCCCTGCCAACTAACCCTTGTGCCACCAAATTCCAGGGAACAGACTCTTGGATTCATGTGACACACCTAAAGAAAGCATCAAACCCTGACTGGACCTGCACATCATCTGGTGACTTAAAAGTAAAGATTTCCCAGAATTGAAGCACACAACATCTGATGACACAGCTTTCCCAAGACGACTGGACCAGGCCTGTTGGAAGTTTGTCTGCCAAACCTTTGATGATGACCTAATGCTTCAGATGATCTCCATCACCTATGATCTTGATAACATACGGACTTTAGAAAAGAAAAATGCCTGAGAGTTCTACCTTCTACCCTTCCTTGTAACTTGAATGTGACCTCAATAGGTTTCCAATCTGTGCACTTTCCCTCTGACATGGGCCAAGATACTCAGGAAAGGTCTTTCCTGGCATCAAGGGACAAAAGGCTGCTGAAACGGGAAAAACCTAACTTGATCAGTGATGAATTCAGAGAAAGATCTCTATCAAAAGGAGGAAATATGGAAATTAATAAACAGAAACCTCATTAAACTGGAGTCGAGTGGCCAAAAGGAGGAGCTCTCATGCCCTACACTGACAGCAGAGCTCAACAGGAAGAAGAAAGACTTCCTCTTCTTAACCAGCAAGACACTCAGCCAATGAGAGACTGTCACAACTCAGCCAATGAAAAGCCACTACAACTCAAACTCTTTGTTTACAATAGCCTTCCCAACTTCCTCCACCCCTGTATGAAAGAGTCTCTCCTCCCTTGCTGGTTGACTTTCGTGTGGCTCACCATGGTTGCAGACCCTGAATTGCAATTCTCTGCAGATCCTGAATAAACCCATTTTTGCTGGAAAAATAACTGGCTATTTGTTTAAGGTCAACAATATGTGTGTGTGTATATACACACATACAAAAAAAAAAAGAGTTTTTTCTTACAAAAACAGAATTGTACCGCTTTGTAAAGTGCTTTTTTTAACTTAAAAATATATCATGAACAAATTTCCATAACAATAAATACAACTACAATATCTTTCATGGCTGCATAGTATATCATTATATGAATGTATCATAATTTACTTAAATATCCTATAGGAGAACATTTAGATGGTTTCCAATTTTTGTCATTATAACAATGCGGTCATAAACTTCCTCTAGAACAGACATTCTCAAGCTTTTGCATACATCAGCATCACCAAGGGGACGTGTTGAAGTCCCACCCTCGAGTTTCTGATTCAATAGGCTGCATTTCTAACGAGCTCCCGGGTGATGCTGCTGCTGCTGGTCTAGGTACCACACTTTGAGAAGCACTGCTCTAACACTGCACAGTCCAGCATGGTAGCCACCAGCCACATGTGGCAATTTAAGTTTACATTAATTAAAACTAAAAATTCAATTCCTCAGTCACACTAGCCACATTTTAAGAGCTCACTAGCCATGGCTCACATTTACCGTACTGGACAGCGCTGCTCTAGACTATAAGCTCTAAGAGAACAGAGATCCTGTCTTCTCACTGCTTCATCCCTAGCACCTGGTGAATACCTGGCATAGAGGTGCTCAAAAATTATGAACTAAGAATCCTTGTATACATATATCTCTACTGGTTTCCTCAGGATAAATTCCTCAAAATGGAATTGCTGGGACAAAGGATACAAACATCTTGCCAATACTCTGTCACATTATCCTTCAGAAAGGCTGTAAACAACCAACACTTCGATCAGCAGTAAATGAGTGTCTTTTTTTCACATCTTTATCCACACTGCACATTATATTTGATAATTTGATAGGCTTTATATAGCATCTTGTTTTAACCTGCAACTCTGATAAGTACAGCTTTTTTTCATGTTTATAAGTCCTTTTTAGTTAACATAACAACATGTGTGCCAGTTATTTCCTACTGTCTGTTAGCCCCTAGTTCATCCCTCTATATTCTTGATTTATTTAATGTTTAAGAAGTGTCCCAAGACTACCGAATGCATATTTAAGTTTTGAAAATAGCAATTACCAGATAGAAATGAACAAAAGATTTAGAAAGCAGAATAGATTAGAAAAGGGAAACTGCTCAGGTTTTTCATTTCCTATATCAGAAGATACATTCTCACCTGAAGCAATGTAGGCCCAGGCTATTTTCCACCCCTAACATTAAGGAATAAAAGGCAAAACACTCATTCTGGAAATTCCAGATTTCTAGAATTATTGAAAAGCACTCATCACCAGAGAGTAGGTCTGTGATTCTTAAAATAATAGTGAAAAAGTGAAAAAATGAAAGATTTTTATATTAAGTCCAGTCTTCTGCAAAAGGAATTTTGGATACATTTGTGTTCTTTTTAGGGATATACCATAAGCTCAGATTTGGGATGAAATGCATCAGAACTTGTCAGAAGTTTGCCTCTAATAAATGAGCAGGCTATTTGCAATGAACATAAAAAAGGAAATTCAATAGCGATAAAAGGGGAAGAGAATGGAAGCAGAAACGGCTCCAGAGGTTAACACTGGGTCAGTTCACCAAGAAAGAAACTTAGAATTAAAGTCTAATGTATTCAGAACTTGCTTTGCTAGTCTATTTGAGGAGGATATACTGGTGTTGAGAACTGTTTATCGCACAAAGGACTTAAAACCTGTACACCAGAGCATAATTTGTAGTGAGCAATAAATTCAAGTGAAGATGTGGCACATAACTAATGTGGATAATCTGTCACTCAGTCATAAGATGTACAAGATTTATAGGAACGTTATGACTCTGAAAAGTGAAAATATAAGGACAGTTATGGTTCATACTCTTAAGGCTCTCATGAGAAAATTAAGGACATTCAAATATTAATATCTAAATTCTAGAGGACTTTTGTGAAACACAAATGGGTAAAGAATAGAAGAAGGTGATAACTGTCAGGACCTGGACTAATCAAAAGCCATGTTAGTTTAATATCTTTAACAAAAGATGAATACGATATGGTCCTTAATTCTGAGGAACTCAGAATCTTTTAGTGAGATTTAGAACAATCGGACTATCACTAGGTAGATTTTCCTAGCAAATTCTTAGCAATGTTAATACAAATTACCAAGAGATGTGACCCTCTAGAAATATAACACTACTAGCATACAGGGAAATTACAGAGAACAGGGCTAAATGCCATAATATACAAAGGAGCTTAATCACGTGCTTATTAGTAGGTATGATCTCTTTGGGAACACTAACTCTCACAAGTTCCTACACCTGGGCATCAGAAAAAAAACAGCTGGGGATCAGACGTGCTAGTACCACTCTGTCACCACACCCTTCTTGAGGACTAACACTGAAGCTGAAACTCAATGTGACAGTGAGTACAGTATATACAGCAAAGTAGAGGAAGAAAACTGTAAGTACGTATATCTAAAAAATTTCTAATCTATTCCCTCCCCCAATAAAGACACTGTGAGCTTGAAAAAGTATGCTTGAAACCGCATTAATATTATTTGAAGAAATCAGGAGCAGTGAAATCCTGTGTGGCTCAAGGCAGCTTCAGAGAGGCAAATTTAGTTTCTTGGAAACACACCAAATGTGTACGTGTGTGAACTCTTCAATTAACCTGCTCGCTACACTTACCAATTTCTTAGCTTCCGCTCCACTCTTTATTTTGTGTGGGTACTTTGCTATCACAGATGCTGCTTTTCTATAAGAAATAAAAACAAGGGAAAATCAATGAGAAATCCAGTGAGGTCTTAATTTGTCTTTAACTGGAATACACACATAAGCAAATATGCAGCTTACACTTTCACCAAGATAACTAATTTTCCACATCCACGTAAAATTTAAAAATTCAGATGAGCTTACAGACCACCTGCATCTCTAACTTTCAGAAGCATCTTGAAAATCCTCACATTTGAGGCTAATATGATTTTAATTGTATATGTAAAACTAGAGAGATTCAGGAAACCAGTAGCCTTCCTTTTTGGGATTAAGTGGAGAATATCATTAGGCCTTTTTTTTTTAACAGTAGTTTTTAGAAGCTGTTCATAACTCTCTTTCGTAAAAATGTGCCACCTAGTAGTATTCGACCCACTAGATGCCAAACTGGCTTATGGATGACTATTTTTAAATTCGTGGTTTAAAACTGCATTCCCCTGTGTCCTGAGGGGGTTCTTCTTTTTAGAACTGGTTCTCCCAGTTCTTCTTTCTTTTCATTGCTCTCATTTCAGTTCCGCATAAAGCAGCGACCTGTGATTCTTGCCCATCTTCACACATATCCAGCTCAGTAGTCTGGTGACAGACTGGGTACACCCCGGGAGCTCACTGGTGGGATCCTGTCTATAATTCCAATGCTAAATGTAGTTTAGCATTGATGCTGATAAAAAGCAGTAGCACGTCTAAGTCTAAAGCATAAATATTGGACAGTCTTTGGAGCCTTGGTTTTTCACTCTATTCTAGCACATATAAACCTGTAGATTTGGATTTCAACTTCTCTATTAGCGTATTACTGATGATGAGTCTGGAAAGGTAGGTTGAGGGCAGTCTGTGGAGGGCATTGTTTCAACAAAGGCAAGTAGTTCCAGATAACTGGCACTATGGGACAAAGCCTGAAAGGGAGAAGAATTAAATCATAAAAGGCCTTTTGTATGCCACGATGAATTTGGGCTGTATCAAGATAGAAAAGAAATATTTAATTATTTGATATGGAAGAATGACAAGATCAGATAACTATTTTCAAAAGAATATTTTGGCCACAATCAAGAGAAATATGTATCAGGGTAGGGAGGAGCATGCAGGGGTGTCAGGGCACCACCTGCTTTTCCAGACTTATTTCCCACTCAGACCATACCCCTTCAGCAAACTGAATTACTGACTTCCTAGAAAGTGTTATATCCCTTCATGTCACAGTGCCTTGCCACATTTTGTTTCCTTTCTCTAGATAGTTCTTCCTCTCACTTATTCCCTGATGGGCTCCTTTAAGACTAAACACCTCACCTCTGAAGCCTGCTGTGATCCTCAAATGTGTGGATGATAGTACAATTATTTTACACAGGAAGTCACAGGAGGTAAGGAAAGCAGGGAGTGTAACCAGTTTTGAATTATGTTGAATGGGAAAGGAAGCACGGAGCTGAGTTTAGTCTTGAAAGGGTAGAGATAAAGGTAATATAGGCCTAATTCTGGAGAAAAGTCCAATGAGATACAGATCTGGACTCACTGGAAGAGGTGAAAGAATAGAAGGTTGTGCATCACGAAGTCAACAGTAAGACTTGAAGGTAATGAGCCAGTGGTGAATGCCAGTGAGAGTCCAATAAAATGAAATGTAGGTGAGAGCATATTCAGAGGAATGGCAGGATGGAAATCATACTGCAATGAGCCAAGGAATGACCAGGGATGAAGAAATCCAGGCAAGGAACACAGATTATTCAAGAAGGATAACTGTAAAGTGGAGGAAAGACATAATGTGGCTAGAGGGTAGAGGGAACTTAATAAGATTGCTTCGTTTTGGTTTTAACAGCTGAGGGACTTGGGCATGTTTACAGGCTAAGGAGCAGGTGAATATGGCAATAATGGCTAGCATAAGGATCCTGGTGAGATGGACAACGGTGGGATCCAAAAAGGTGACAGGATCAGCCACAGACCAACCAGATGGAAAGATCTGATTTCTTGAGCCACATCTATTTCACAGCACAGACTTCATCCACTGTCTTTCATTATGGCTTAAAATCAAACTGCATTTTCAGTAATTCACTTCTGATGATGGGAAAAATACATACCAGCCTATTTTCAATCAGAATTGGGAACTGCTCAGGATTGATCCTACAGAGCTCAGCCCAAATTCTCCCAGAAACACTGCAGTAAGGTACCACCAGAGTCAATACCCTCAGTTCTTGCTCTTTCCTCCTCTTGCAGACGGTCCAAATATCCACTGAACCCTCAGCCCTGTTAACTGCCACACATCCCAGAACGCACGCTACCAGAGAATGCTGCACCGTCCCACCTGTAAGCATTGTACTTGTGGATAGCCTGGTTCACGTTCTTCTCAAAGTTGGCGAGTTCTGAAAAGGCAACAAGAGGCTCGGGTGAACAAGAACCACGAGTAAACAAACGAGAGCTGAGTTTCGCGGAAGGGGACGTAACAGCCTCTTAGGGGACAGTGACCCCCCGCTTCTACACGGGCCAGGCCACAGGCAGCCCAGGCGGTGACGCAAGAGTCCCCAGCAGGAGTGACAATCCGCCACCGGCCACGCGCGCCGAAGGAAGATCCGCACGGAAGACTCGCCGCTGCGAGGGGCCGAGCCCATCCCCCGGGCGGTCGGGACGTGAGAGAAGGAAGGGAAGGCGATGGGGTGGGAGGAAAGGAGGAGAAAGCCAGCGGCGCCCGGCCCGGGGCTGACCTGTGAGCATGTCGGTGATTCCCCCGTTGAGAGTCTCCTGTGGCGCCTTCCGTTTGCTCATGGCGGCCTGCAGCCGACGGCCGCGGAAGGCTCAGAGCCAGCGACTGGCCGCGGAAGGCTCAGAGCCAGCGACTAGCCCCGTCTCCCGGCTCTAATAAGGGGCCGGGACTTGGAGAGCGGGGCAGGACCAACCCAGCCCCGGCGAGGCCAGCCCGACCCGCGGAACAATGGCTGCCTCTGACAGGAGGCGCGGCGCGCGGCGAGCGTGGTGACGTCACGCGCCCGGGGCGGGGCCTGGGCGGGGCTAGGGCGGAGCTACCTCTGCGAGGGAGAAAAGCAAGCCTGGAAGGGTGGGACGGACCTGAAGAAGGAAGCTGGGCCAGAAGTTGGACTTGGCAGGGGGAGGTGGAAGCGTTAGAATCACACGCCAATGGGGTTCCTCTGGGAAGACCTGGATTCTTAGCCTGAGACATTACATCTGTTTTCCCGGTACGGTTCTCTGGAGTCCTCTCCCTAGAAGGGGAAACATAGGAGTCCGATTTTGACTCTAAAGTCAAAACTTCAGAGGGTGGAGTATATAAGATGGTGGGGTGGGGGATAGAATACTGAAGACTGCTCTTGTGCACGTACCAGAGCTGCAGAGTAATAGTTACTGAGTGCGGGACGTATTTTATATGTGATAAGAGGCAACGCCAGCGTCATACTTACTGTCAAAACTTTCTGTAAGAATATGGTGCAGTCCACACTGCAACGGAGTTCTCCTGTGCTAGGGTGCCGCAGGAGCCAGGAATGAGATATGCCAATAATAGGAAAGCCTCCCATACAAAACTTTTTAGCAGATATGCCAACCAATGTCAAAAGATATTTTATATTTTATTCCCCTCCTTTTTGCGGTAGAAGCCAAAGTGAAAAAACTACTAGAAAGGGAGAAGTGCTTAACCTAGATAATGAGCAATGAAACTGCCATTATAACATGACCTGTATCTGAGAAGTTTACAGTTCTGCTTGAGAAGTGGAAATGTGTCATCGGCAATATTTTATTTTACAAGCGTAACTCCTAGAGTTCGTACTGAATTGCTAATTCCAGGCAATTGCTTTGTGTGTAAATAAAATTAAAATCTTATTACAAAATGATACAAGGTTGCTGTTGAAAAATGTATAAAAGGAGAAAAGAAAATTAAAATCAATGATCATCTCACCATCCAGCTTAACCACTGTTAATTTGGGGGGACATATACTTCCAGTCTTCTAATCCCATCCTTTTAAAATTCCGGTTATTTTTCAATAATGGAATAAGTGCTTTAGATATGATTAGTTTCTTTGATTAGCAAGGTTGTGGTTGGTTGCTTTTTTTTTACAAAATCAGTGTATGTCTTTAAGTTATGCTTATTGGACATTTGTGAATTTCCTGTTTGTATCCTTTCTTTGTTTTTCTAATGGGCGTAGTTGTCTGTTATTTGTTAGATCTTTTATATATTACTACTAACCCTATTGTGTATATTGTATTTGTATATTTTTTGTAAATATTTGTATTTTCCCAACTTATCCCTTGCCCTTTAACTTTATTCTGCAGCTTCTTAATACTTTGATTCCCACCTTTGTTTAGATAATATGAGTCGTCTTAGTATTTTTCTCAGTTCGCCTTTTTTCCTATCCAATCTCTATACCAGGCTATGTTCATATTATTTTGTTTTGAAGAATGATCATCCCTTGTTAAATAAAAAAGTTTTTATTCACCTCTGAGTAATGAAAGTTACGTTAGAGAACTGTGGGATTATTTTTTGTATGAGTATTATGCCAACTTTTTAAAAATCAGTGCCAGAGAATCCAAGGAAAATGACCAATTCTCTGTCCTCATCTTCTTGGCCCAACCAGTAACATTTGGTCCACTTAACCACTCTTTTCTTGAAGTAATTTGTTTTCATTTGGCTTCTAAGATAGCACATGCTCAGGGTTTTCCTTCTTCCTTGCTAGCCACTCCTTCTCAAGTTTTTCTTTGGGGGGTGTGTGTGTGTGTGTGTGTGTGTGTGTGTGTGTGTGCGCGCGCGCTGGTTCCCAGCTCCTCCTCTGCTCTCCAGCCTTTATGGGAAAGTGCCTCAGGCCTTGCTCCTCTAACCAGCTTTTCCGCCTCGTCCAGGTTCACCTTTTAAAATGCCATATCTACCTTGAAGACTCTACCTGACCTCTCCCTTGAGCTCCAGTCTCATACAGCGCACTGCCTACTGGATATCTCTAGCTGTCCAAATAGTCATCTCAAAAATAAATGTCATAAAGAACTCTTGATTCTTGCCTTACTAGCTTCTCCTTCACATTTTCCCAACTTAGTTAATGACGTTTTAATCCACCTGCTATCAGCCCAAAACCCTAGGAAGTCATTCTTTTTTTTTTTTAATTGATGTTTTAATAGTTTATAACATTGTAAAATTTTGGGTTGTACATTTTTGTTTGTCCATCACCATATATATGTCTCCCTTTACCCTTGTGCCCACCCCCCACCCCCATTGCCCCTGGTAACTACAATACAGTTTTCTCTGTTCATGTGTTGGTTTTTTTATATTTTTTTTTAATAATTTTTTAATTTTATTTATTTTTCCCCCCAAAGCCCCAGTAGATAGTCGTATGTCATAGCTGCACATCCTTCTAGTTGCTGTATGTGGGATGCGGCCTCAGCATGGCCAGAGAAGCGGTGCGTCGGTGCACACCCGGGATCCGAACCTGGGCCGCCAGTAGCAGAGCGTGCACTTAACCGCTAAGCCATGGGGCCAGCCCCATGTGTTGGTTTATATTCCACATATGAGTGA